GCTGAAAGTGAACAAACTTGTTTCTGACGATACAGAAATCCATTGTCAGACTGGAAAAGTTTTCATGAGAGCACAAATGCTTACCCTGGTCCTATGCGTCATCTGGGCTAATCAAACATCAAAAAAATTGTAATTTCTGGAAGTTTGATAATTGCAAAATTGGCCATGTTCTGCACTAAATTATGCGCGCTTTGAAGAGTTTAATTATAATGCTGAAAGCGTAACGCAAATTATTTACGCGTAGCGAATTGTCCTGCACAACAAATTTGTTCCAAATTGAATTGAGGCGCGCTAGCTAATCGGTCGTATTAATTTTGTACGTCTCAAAATTTCACATTTTGATATTGTTCAAAATTTATAGGTTTTCAAAATTTTCTTTTTCCAAAAATTATTCGACCTGGATTAGGGGAAAGTCGGAACACTCAAAGCTTTGTTTTTGCGTTGTTTTTCCTTCAATCTTTTTTGTTCAATTATTGACTAGTTGAGAACAGAAATTTTCAATTTTTTTTCCTGCGACTAGTTGAAACGCTGACTGACTGACTAAGTTAAAGCTAGAAATGGCTCTTGGTTGGGTATTTGAAAGCTATTTTTTCTATTGAATTCGCAAATTTGAGAGGTAATTATAAATCTAATCAAGGCGAAACAAATATACTTCAGGATCACAAAAATCGCTTTTCATGTTTTTTCGCGCCACATCCAGCCAAATATTGATTACTTGTTAGATAAGAAAGTGAAGTTTCCAACTTATTATCTCTGTTTTGCTCAGATGAAGCTCCTCAAGTGCTTCTCCTTCTTAGATTCGGAAAAGATATAGAGAACTATGCAACTGCTTAGTTGAACTGCGATAATTTTTTCAGGTTAGAACTGTATAACGCTTTTCAATTACTGCCTTCAAAGCGTCTTCGCATCTACTTTGAGCGTATGTTTATCTTCAAGTAGGTTGCTTGACTTATTCTTCTAATCAAGTGATCGCCAAAACGCAACAATATCCTCCTCACACGTCAGAAAAAAAGGATAAGAGATAAAGGATGTCCAACAACCTATAAAATTTACAGTCTTATTCGCCTTCTTTTTTTGCGGAAGAGACTTTCTGTTGAATTCTTTTCAGATACGCGTGTCAATTACCAAGCAGCAATAATGAAAAAGGATGTTTGGGGTTCATCGCGCAAAAATGTTTCAGTTGACTGGGTAGGACATTTAAGCATAGTATACATTGATAGCGAGTTTAAGGTTTAAGGGTTTAAAAGGGTTTAAGGTAATACAAACCATGATTACTTCAACCAAAAACACTATATCCACTTAAATGTCTCGTTGTTAATTGCCACGGAATCGAATCGCCAAGATGCTTTTTCACTCATTTGTATTTTTTTCAATTTGTTAAGAGTCAATTTACGTAATGGAATGAGGGAAATTTATCCTGGGGGAAAAATTACCCTGAAGAAATCATATCTCCACCTGAAGTGCTTTGCATGTCCAGCTCGAGTTTTTTTGTTTGTTTATTTTTTTATTGTTCACCTCGTGGATGATGAGATATCTCAATAGGTGCTAAAGGCATGTTTTTTTATTTTTCCGACTTTCGTAACGAAAGTAATTGTTCCGGCGTTCGTAACGAAGCTAACGGAATAATTGTGCTTGGGGTGGGTTTTTTTCTTCTAACTAATTTCGACGTTGTAACTGGCCATTTTTGACGGATTTTTTTTCTACATCATTTGAAAGCTATTGTTCCCCTTAGCTTAAATTTGATATTTCACCTGTGATTTTTTTTTGTAAAGTTAAGGGGGTCTTAAGATTGCCATTTGGGACAATTAACGCGCGATATTTAGTAAGCGAGATTTAATCCGTCTTAGAATTCATTCCAAAGTGATTCAAGGAAGCGTATATGTCATAATTGAATTATTACTTTGGGCTTAATATGACGTGTGGGTTGATGTTTTCAATGATACGAAATCATGCGCCAGATCCTTCAACGAATGTGGAACATCAAAACTCAAAATAATGAAACTCAAAAAATACCTTCAGATAAGCTTTTGCGTATCTTAGAAGTATGCTATGCAGAGCAGTTTGTAGTTTTTATATGCAAAACTACAGCCCCAACCCTGCTGTTTTGCTTTCTTCGAGGCAATGGTCGCCCGAAAAAAATCAACAACAACAATTGGCACAATTATAAAAAAAATGAACACACCAACCATCTGCTTGGTATAATAACGTTTTTGAAACATCTTTCTTCCTGTTTTGCCTGATGAAAATTTCTCAATTGATCCAAAAGATATTTTAAAAGCAACTCAGTCAAAGACAGTGGCGCTCAAAAAGGATAATGCATTTAGTCCTAAGTGTTAAAGATTCGACAAGATTACGTGCTTTTACTATCAGAATCTGAAATATCTGAGCAGAGTCTTTATTGCCGAGCATATTTATTTCAAATAGCATTGCATAAAAGCGTAGAGACAATTTCTCAGATGAATAACAATGTTGATTCGAAATTTTGGCTTTGCTTCTATTTTAAGTTTTTATTTACAAAAAAAATGATCACAGAAGTAATTTATTGTTAAGCCAACATTTTCCATAATTCAGAATATGAAAGTCAAAAATACTTTCTTAAGTCAAAGATTTTCAAGAGGAAAACGGTTGTAAGAAGTTGAAACAGAGCATATTATTTAAAAAAGCTATTGACCCGTTTCAGACAGTTTTTTCATTAAAAGCTAATTTTTCAGACAAAAATCAAGTTTGCAACCAGTTACTCAAAATTGGCAGATGGGTGTTTTATTTAGTTTGTCTGATCCATTTTTCTATAACGTATTTTAAGTAAAGGATTATCAACTTTGCGCTGCCAACTTTTTTAAAATAATTTCTTGCATCACAAAAAATATATGAGTTGTTTTTTGAATTTGATTTAAAAACAATTATTCCAGATGAAACTAATGGATTTGAGTATCATTTATAAAATCTGATGAGTACAATTTATTGAACCAATGAAAATATGCTACTTTGGAGCAGCCCTCGATAAATTTTAAGCAAATTGCCACTAACATAAGCTAAAGTTTAGTTAAACTTCAGCTACAGCTTAGCTAAACTTCCGCAATATAGTTTTCAAAGTT